AACAGAAGAAGGCCGTGGTTGAATCCAGATGAAAACCGAGATCTGACGTTCCAGACCGCTGTCTGAAAGTTTGTGTTTGTCCTCTGCGGTCTCGGTGCTCAGCTGCGGAAAACGCTCCTCTCTCTCCTGCCTCTCCTCTCCCTGTTTCATTACTCCTGCTGGTAAAGAGCTACATCGCCTTGGAAGAACTGGGACACCGCAAGGCATTGTGGACCCTTTAAAGCTGCAATAACACTCCGACTGGGAGGATGCCTTCAACTTTTACACATACCGGACATCTAAACAGAACATTTTCTCCTGGTAAAACTCTCAGGAATCCGTAGCTCAAATATTTAGATAAGAGATTCTTCACCGAGCCTGACTACGTACAAACTGGCTTCATTTTTTTTATCAGAGTAATTTCAGAATCCGAAGAAATGAGTGCTTATTTAGCACAACGTATAAAACAGGTAACAATTCATGATTGCATTTTATTTTCAATTAATGTTCATTGAATGGGGACACTGCCACTTTAAGATCAAGGGTGATGTTCTACGTCATTATTTTACCACCACAAAGTAAATTAAAATGGACAAAAGAATAAAAAGTTAATTTATATGTAAAAAAAATTATGAATTTGCACGAGGATTAGATTTTTTTTGTTACATTGTGAAGATATACAAAAACCCATCATTACCATATTTGGAAAGTGACGTCATGTTAGGGTCCCCTTAGGTCTCCAAGTAGAGAGAGAGAGAGAAAAAAAACTCCTCTTCAGCTTCCAACATAAATATGGGGGAACAATCTGTTGAGTCACATCTGCTTTTATAATCAGTTCTTTCATTATACAAGACGTTATTAACATTTCTTGGCCAAACACAATATTTTACAATAATCAAGCAGTGCAATTATCCTTGAATTGACTGCGGGTCAAATCCCCCTGTTGCTTAATCGTACCCCTTAGTCGTGCAATGATCTCTACATCTGCTCGACATGGGAGCAAGAAATACTTCAAGCCTCTATAATTGAATAAAGACTGTATACTGCCAACCTGACAAGCAACTCTTAAAATGTTAAGAGTTTCTTTTGTAACAGAAATTCATGTTACAAAAGAAATTAAACACATTTTCATAAGCAAGTCATTATTTTTCAGTGTTTCAAAGAGTTGCAACAGACTTGCTGACTTGACATCCATGATATAAACCATCCCTTCCACCACGTCCCAAAGAGGCTCTTTCAGACTGAGGTCTGGAGACTGTTTTGGAGTGCAGTGAGTGCATTGTCATGTTCAAGAAACCAGGTTTGAGATGATTTGGGCTTTGCGACATGCTTCATCCTCCTGCTTGATGTTGCCATTAGAAGACAGATTCACTGCAGTCATAAAGAGATGAACATGGGCAGCAGCAGCACTCGGGCAGGCTGAGGTAACGTTGCCCTATAATTTGGGATCAGGAAGAATGTCTCCATCCTTTCGGGCTGTTTATGGCAAATTCTGACCCTACCATCTGAATATTGGAGGTGAAATTGAGATTAATTGGAGCAGGCAACAATTTTCAAGTCTGTTAATGTTCTGTTGAGCCTGTGAAAATTATAGCCTTAGTTTCTTTGTCCTAAACGGACAGCAGTGGCACTCAGTGTGGTCTGCTTCTGCTGTGGCCCATCTGCTTCTATGTTCGACATGTTGTGCATTCAGAGATGGCACTCCCCATGCCTTGGTTAAAACAAGTGGCTCTTTGATCTACCGTTATCTCTCCATCACCTCATATCAGTTTGCTCATTTATTCTTCTCTGACATCAATAAGGCATTTTCATCCACACAACTGCTGAAAAGTGATTAGTTTCTTTTTTCTTTTCTTTTTTTTTGATCATTCACTGTAAACTTTGGTGATGGTAACTTGTGTCTGCCTGAAAATCCCAGTGGAGCACCAGTTTCTAAAACAGTCAGATCTGCATGTCTGGCACCAAGAGTGCTACATTTAAATTCTCTTTATTTTGTGTTTTGATGTTTGTTTTGAACCTCAGCAAGTCTTGCTCTCCAAGTTTAGATAAAAAAATGCAGTAGGTGGCTGTGATGTGATTGGTTGTTGTGCTATTTGTTTGACCAGGGGTCACCAACTCCAGTCCTCCAGGGCTACCATCCTGCAATTTTTAGATTCACCTCTGCTCCAAAATGTCTGAATTCCCTCACCAGCATTCATTCCTCTCTGCAATAGGCTGGAAACGAGCAGTTTATTTGATCCAGGTGTGTTTGAGCAGAGACGCATCTAAAAGTCGCAGGATGGTAGGACTGGAGGACTGGAGTTGGTGACCCCTGGAATAATATAGCTGAGTTGCTATTTTATTTATGATGCAAAACAAATAAAAATGGTCAAAGTTATCAAACATCAATAAAAATCTAAAATGTCTATGAGCTTGGATTAAATCTTTTAATCACCAAGAGGCCGGGGAGGTTAGCTCTGAAATGGTTTTAGTAACCCCAAATAATCAGTTCTTCTCTCTCTTTTCTTAGATAAACATGTAAAGGAAACAATTCATCTCTTTAAAAGTGATTGTCTTTGAAAAGAAATTGAATATGTCATTTGATATGTTTTGAGGTATGAAAGAAGATAGCTTTAAATGTAAAAGAAAAATATAAAGGCTAAAGCTTTATTTAGACTTTTGTTTCAACTTTTAATTTCATACCAAACATTTCAGTCATAAATATAAATTGACAATTAGAAGTCCCATACTCATTGGATGTATTTGAAATGTAATAAAATCTCTTGCAAAAAAAAAATAAAAAAAATAAAAAATACATTTTGTTCCTAATATTCAAGGTTCTTCAAAGACTTGTAGAAGCTGATGACAGGAAAGTCCTCCAGTAGTGGTCTGCCTAACAAACAGCAACTTACTGCCATCTTGTGACAGAAAATATTTTATCTTGTAATAAATGTAAAAAAAAAAAAAAGGCACTATTTGGGGTGTACAAAATCCAACAAGTGTTCTTACCTGGTAAGCCTCACATAATTGGAAACACTTTTTCACATGTCACTTACACAGTAAAGCTTCAAGGTTCCTTTTATTTTATCTTCTTGCATAAAGTGAGGCAATTACTATAATAACCACCATTTCTCATGACTCAGAAAACCTCCATGAAAGAAAACAATTTACTTTTTCCATATCTGAGGTGCACAATGGCAAGTAATAATGTTAATGATGCCTTTTTCAATTACAGTGCTTTAGTGGTGAGTCACTCTAAGTGAAACATGGAGCCATTGTTAATGCGAGCAGGTTCACTGTAGTTTTCCCGCCATGAGGTGTGCAGACACTGAGCTTAGACGAGGTCTGCTTTTTAAAAATCAGTTCATCATCATTTTCTTGTCAAATTTGGAATCTGTCTGTAGGAAATATTTTTTTTGTCTGGGGGAGAGAGGCTGGATTTGAGGTTTAATACTGGTTGTATACAACCATGGTTTTATTGGTATTGATTTTAATTGTATCCGGTTTATCCCTTTCATGTTGTGACCACATCTAATAAAAATGCTGAATGATGTAGACCAATAAATATAAAATCCCAATATGTCATTTAAACATCCAGTGCCTCTTGTCTGCTGTAAGGAAGTCACATAAAGTCTCTATGTAATTGTTTTAAGCTTTGGTATCTACATCTCTTGCTGAGGGCTGCATGGTGGAGCAATTGCACTGTTGCCTTGCAGCAAGAAGGTCCTGTGTTTAAGTCCCAGTCCTGGGTCTTTCTGGGTGAAGTTTGCATATGTTAGGCTAACTGGTCTCTCTAAATTGCCCCCTAGCTGTGGATGTGTTTGTGCTGTGTGTCCAGTTTACCCCACCTCCTGCCAAATGACCACTGGAGATAAGCACCAGTCCCATCATGATCCTGCAAATATAGGCCGGTATAGATGATGGATAGGTCTAGCTTTTACTGACTCAGTCCTCACAGCCCTTTTCGGCTTGTTCAGATTAACACTGAACATCTTCTCTTTGAAACAATGCTAATGCTATGGGGATGTCTTTCCTCAGCAAGTATAGGGAAACTGGTCAGAATGGTGTGAGACTGTGATGGAAGAAATAAACTGCCTCTTAACTGCCTATTTCTGATGGATGGTTCTAATTAATGTATTTAGCATGTTTATATTGGCAGGTTTTGTCTCTGGCCGCTACTGATTTATTGTGAACCGAAATTCTGAGATTGATAAATACCGCCCACTAGTGGTCAGAAACTGTTAGTGTAGCAAATTGGGCACATTGGGAAGCATAGTGTTTAATAATTGGCAAGCATAGTGTTTAATAATTGGCAAGTGTTTAATAATTGGCTTTCAGTCCTCAAGTCTTCTGCACTCTGTTGTTAGGAGGAATCCGAAAATAACATTTTATATGTATTTTATATTTTAATCCGATTTGTATATTCTGTGTGTGTTTGTGTGTGTGTGTTTTTTTTTTTTTTACAATTACGGTACTAAGGCTGTGAATAAAGTTTTGATTGATAGTACTTTTTGCAAGCTATACACGCATATTTTAAGATGAGTCCTTAAGGATGGGAGAAAGAAATGTCATAAAAACAAAATAAATCAACAATTTCAAAAATTATTTAGCGCGATGTCATTCCAGTCCTTTTTTTTTTTTACGTTTACAAACATCACTAAAGCGTGGATTAGTTGTCCGGGCTTTGTCACAAGCCTCGCATTTAGTCATGCATAAGTATTGCGCAGCAGCAGCTCCAGTGAATACGTAGGGAAACTGACAAGGAATTGGCAAATCACTTCCTTGCTTGGGAATGACGTTCCTCCAGCACATTCCAGTTATATTTAGAACCTATATATACTGGAGTCGCCCCCTAGGCTTTGTTGACGCTGCAGCAGCAGCCGGAGCAGCAGCAGTGAGAGTGCTAAAGGGCATGAAACTACAGCAGACTGCTCCATATATTTACATTATTCTATGTGGGTATTAAAATACAAAAGTGAAAACTGCAATTGGTTTTGATTTTATTGTTATAAGGAAAAAACTGGGAACATTAAGCACAATTTGTTTAAATACAAATACAGTAGCACATTTGTTGAGATTTTGACAGCAGTGTACATACAAAGATGACAAAGCACAATATGTGGGTCACATATTGTTACAGAGACGGCTGACCGATTTGCCCCAGACCGGTTAAAAATCTCCCTGCTATGATTTCTGGGTAAAGTGCGCCCTGCTTGGTATCCGCCCATATTCTCGTAACTCGGGCCAGCCTGAGCAGCAGCAGCTAGGCCGAAGGGACTCTGGATCAGATGGAAAGTTCAATCGATTGATTCCCCCACTCTTTCTTTTTTTTAATTGTTTTTGGTCTGCATGGTCCCGCTTGCTTCCGATACGACGTTGAACCGACTGGAATGCGGGGGTTTTGGTGAGAAGCAGAAGTAGGAAATGCGGAGATCGAGTGAAACGGGAGGATTATCTGCTTGACTTCTTTGGTCTCTACTTCAGACGCGGAACTCCACTCGCTAAAAGGTAACAAACGGAGAAGATAGTTTCGTGTAGAGGCATTTTTATTGTTTGTTTTATTATTTTTTTCACAAATACGTGTAGTGTGGTGTACGTGTCATTAAAACAGACAGTTGCGACGTTGTAGTAAAACTATTTTAATTTTTAGCCCAAACTACGCCCAATTGTTAACCTATCGCTTGGCCCTGCATTGCAGACCTAGCTAGCCTCTCAATGGCGGCTTCCTTTCCTTTTTGAATGAATGATATATACTGTGTCCGGCCACATTAAACAGGCAAAAGTCTTTAACGACTTTCTTTCCCGAAACACACCAGGATAATGTACATAAACCGGGGTTAGCTAACTTTCAAGTGTTTAAGCGAGCTCCTGTGCTAGGCTAACTAGTAGGCAGGCAGTCACCGCAGGATTTAAATCAAATTCCCGTCGACTTTTAAACCCTGTAAAAGGTCTCAGTCTACCTGGACCCCACACAGGGCTTTTACTGAAAAATTCTGGCCCCATATTTAACAGCTCGTCTTAAAACAAGATCATGTTTATTCGGATGCTAATCAATAAGCCCTCTGATCAGGTTGTGTGAGTATTTTTCCTGTGTTTTGGGCGAGCAACTACTGCATTATATGTATGGGCTCTGTATGAGAGTCCCACAATGTTATAACTTAAGTAAAATGCTTCTATGCAAAGACTTGAAAAGCTATAACATTGTCCAGTTGGTGAATTTTTCAATCGGCAAAACTATAATTATTCACAATGCTGCTAAGGGAACATGATTGCTGCCATAACATTTATGTATTGTTTGTGATACATAGACTTAAACGACAAATTTGGTATAAATACTGCCAGATTTATCAGTAGTTTGTGTATCTAGCATACACAAACTACTGGTCACTAGGTTCAGGTAGCCAGTTTGCTGTCAGCTGCCTATAACAGACATGTTAATAATTTGCTAGCTGTATTTTTAAAACAGCATAAGCTTAATGAGAATGATGTCTAGAGCTTCTTTTGTTTCCATACCATTACTAACCCTGTTTCTGATGACTCTTTAAATATTTGTCCTTTTTTTTTTTGTTTGTTTTTTTAAAGAGAGCAACAAATGCACTAGCTTTCAGCCAACTGTCTGGCTGTGCGGAACAACAGGTTGGGGAGGGGCAGTGTGATCTCAGTCAGTAGGTCAGTTTAAGTCCAGACTGCAGATATTGGCACATAATTTATTTGGGAGGTCACTGCAGCTGAAATAAAGTGTCTCTTAGTTTTATTCATATTACTTTTTGGTATTTTCTGCCAATGTTATAATAGTCTATGTTTTACTAAACTCAAGTTTTATTTTTTGTTTTATCATTTATCTATTTGTGATGTGATTGTTGTGAAGCACTTTGGTCAGCTGAGGTTGTTGTAAATGTGCTATATAAATAAACTTTAACTTGGTCTTACTTTCATGCACTATTTAGCTAGACACCACTGTGGTTATACTTTGTCATGTTCTCTCACATCTCATTTAAAGGACTTTAAATCGTAGGACTGACATGACAGAATGGGTCTGCAGCTACTTTGTAATGTCACACCCCTAATTGGCGGTCTTCAGAAACTTGCTTTCCATTTTAAATTAACTCCTAATCAATTCTTCTGTTGTTTCAGGCAGACAAATATGTAGCACAGTGGGTAACCATACTGTACTACCATTACTTTCCTTACTGAGTCTGGGTCAGTTTGTTTGCCAAATTTGTGTACCATATAACTATTTCCTCTGATTGTGCTTCTATTGTTTCAGTTTATTTCTTTTTTTTTTATCCTTGTAATGTCAATATTTGTGTTGTGGTGGTTTGATTCCATTTTTTTTCTAATGCTTCCTTGTTAAAATGGTATTGCCTCATGTTTGTTTTATGATAATTGGGAATATTTCTTTGTAATCTCTGCCACTTTAAGGTATGACCCTTAAATGTTTTTCACAATTACAGGTGATAACTTTTTTTTTTTTTTTTTTTTTTTAGCTACAGCAAATGTAAAGCAGAAAATGGTGACAATCAGAGCAGTGCACATGTAGAATATAAGTATTTTAAAAAGCAAACTTTTTTGTATTGCATCATGAGCCCTCGTAGATGTCACTGTTAGTTCACGATGACCTGATCATTACAAGAGTCTGCCAACGGTTCCTTTTTGCACCAAAAAAAGTGAACCAAAAATAAAAAAATATTTAATTTAAATAGGTTGAATGGCCGTCACCCTTTTTGGCCTTTTACATTCATTTGTTGTTGAATTGATGCCTCTGCTATCTGTCTGTTACTCTCCACTTTGATCAGGTGCAAAGATGAAAGGTGATGGTGTCCATGAAGTTATACCAAGCGTGTGTCAGATGTATATCCTTGCAGTGTTTTGTCGCATTGCCAACAGTGCATTCTGAATTGTCCAAGATAAGCTTGTGCCTCATGTCATTAATCATAAGTATAAATGTCAAACATGATGCTGATAGCTTTAGAGAAAAAAATATGCATATCACACATCTACCAAACTGTTTAGTGTTTTTTCTTTAACGTTTGCCTGTTTAATCAGGACTTTAACATTTAGCTGAGTTCAATCCTGACTGCAGGCTGTCGGCTTTCTGCAGTTTACACTGTAACTTCTGTAAAGGCCATCTGCCTCTATTGATGGATGTTGCTCCACAAAGCAGCCAGACAGCAGAGTTTCCCAGTCGCTTGTCAATTTTAGAGCTTCAATGTAATGTCATAGATTTCTGCCTGGGGTTAGTCTCTGCTTTTGGGCCTTTGTGGTCTTAAAAGCCCGACTGAATTAGCTGCTGGATTAGGATTTGAAAGCATGTGCAAGCGATGTATGTTAATTATATTTTTGAACTGAAGTCTTCATATTTTTTTCTCTGGAAGTTTTTGTTTGCTATAATCTGAGTTTTCTTTTAAATCGCTGCTTATTCTCTTAATTTGTTGTGTTTTATTTCTTTTTTTTAGTTATGTACAAATAAAATAAAAATCTACTTTAATCTCAAATGTCCTGATTTTAAACTAGACCCAGTTTACTTCATCTAGCTTCAGTTGAAGATTTTCAGTTTTTTTGTTTAGTGAAATGAAAGAATTGCTTATCAAAACTTTTGGTGTTTTAAAAAAAAATTCTGTGATATTAGATATTAGGTTATTCAGCTGTGAGTTTCTCCTGATGTAAAAAAAATAGTGAAATAGCCTTTTATTGCTCTGTTGAAATGGAAGACCTGCCTCAGCATTTTTTGTTTCATGGTTTGTGAAAAACATTCACATGTCTTCAGTGTTCTTAAAAACACATTAAAATATCTGGAAAATGTAGTTTGTAGAAGTGTATAATTTAAAAATGTTCCTTAGTTTTGTTGTTAAATACTAAAATAAGGATTCAAAACGTAGTGAAGTGGAATCTTAATTTTCCAGTGATTCAGCAATGTTTTTCCCCTTTTTCTCTCCACTCATCATGCCTTCAGTCTCGACCTCACAGGCGTAACACACACTCAGACAAAGACAGCAGATTGCAACGGAATGAGAGTGTGTTCCTGTCTGTCTTTGTGTAAATATGATTAAGTAAATGCATTTTGTTTTTCTTCCCAGGTAAATCATGACAGAATATAAGCTGGTTGTGGTGGGAGCTGGTGGCGTGGGCAAGAGCGCGCTTACGATCCAGCTCATCCAGAATCATTTTGTGGATGAATATGACCCGACGATTGAGGTAAAGTACAAAAACCAAAGTTGTATTTAAATTTTTTTTTGTTTGTTTTTTTGCAAAAGCACATTTAGTCAAGTTCCTAACTATCCAAGTGGCTTTGCATACATGTCGGGAATAGACGGGTGCAAAACAAGGAGAAACCCAAAGAAAACCAGGAGTCCGCAACTGGCTCAACAGGTTTTCAGCTCTGAAAGGTCACTAAACAGGTTTATAATGACTTTCCATGTCTGGCTGCCTGCCCAGTTTTTCCGAGTGCCAGCCTTTCTTGTGCGAACTCTCCTGTCATGCTTTCAGTTAATTATTGATGTGTCCTGGCAGGTTGGAGCGCGCCTATAGATTACTTAGATACAAGATAGCATCTGAGGGTATTGCTTGTCACGGGAGCAAGTTGGTAATTATTTCTGGTGCTACCGTCTGAATGTGGCCATCGGTGCGATGAACAACGGGAGTACTGTGACGCTGCCTGGGACGTAGTTGTAATTTGAGCTCTTCCAGAAAATACGGTGCAGTAATGCAGCAAGAGATGGGCCTTCGCAAAAGAAGAAATGGATTAGAAACTGTCACCAGTCATTAATGTAGTTTTCCAAGCACAATCTTAGTTTTTTATTGTAAAGTCACACCTGCCTAATGCTGCTGTCTCACCGGAGTTCTGATCCGTTTCTGGGTTTTTTGTACTTGTTCGACTTTCAGGACTCCTACAGAAAGCAGGTTGTTATCGATGGAGAGACGTGTCTGCTGGACATCCTGGACACTGCAGGTCAGGAGGAGTACAGCGCCATGAGGGATCAGTACATGAGGACAGGGGAGGGATTCCTCTGTGTCTTTGCCATCAACAACACCAAGTCCTTCGAAGATATTCACCACTATAGGTGAGTTGGGAGACCAGATGGGCTGCGGACTCTGGACGTGGTGTGGAATCACTGCTGGGTGATGAAACTCAGCCAGAGTATTAGAAATTCAAGCAAATCTTTATGTCCTGTGGAAGCTTTTGGATAAAATTATGATGAAAGTTGTGGAAAAGACAAAGAATCAACAATCTGCTGTCAGGAATGCCTGAGAGAGTCCGTCCTCTTTTAACAGACTCCATCAGTTCTTTGTCTCTGTTGAAAATTGTAAATTAATAATTTCCCCAGTCAAAGAGAAGATGCTGTTGATGTAGTAAATATTATATTGCACCATGGCTTATTAATTCTTGTAATGCTTTATAAATTCATCCACGTAGCTGACACTCCATGTGACCGATCAGAATGATTTGCAAGTTTTTGAGTCTAAAAACACAGTAAAATATTCTGTAACATATGTTAACTATGAACACTTTTAACTGACACTTTTAAGGCCAGAACGTGGTCAGCCTGCCACATGTAGTCTCACTGCAGTAAATGGACAGCCTGGCAAAAGTGACGGTGTCCAACATGAAAGTCACAGAGTTGGAAGCAACATAATGAAAGGGAGGTGTGCTTGGAAGGCGTGGATTTATTTCAACTGATGTCATCGTCCAATAAACACAGTCACCTGATTCATCTAATGAAACGGTTTCATTTTGAGCACAAGCTTACTTTAATTTGAAAAAGCAGAGGTGCAAAATGTATAAAATTGCAATTACCACTGTAGTATCAATGAGTGCAATATTGCAATTTGGTGGATGCAATTTTTTTTTTTTTTTTACGATACTCGCAGTTGAGGTGTCTTGTGTTTAAACTCTGCTTAAGAAAGATGCTAAAATTAGTGGTGGTGATGCTAAAATCACCACCACTAATTTTAGCATCTTTCTTGGTGGTGGTGATGCTATTAGTGGCGGTGACGCATTTTCTTCTCGCTAAAGAAGAAAATGTGTCACATTTTGACACATTTTCTGCTTTTGCCAGTGTATTATTTAATAAGCCCTAAAACTTAAAATTGTTTGCTGTGTGTTTGTCCAGAGAACAGATCAAGCGGGTGAAGGACTCTGAGGACGTCCCCATGGTGCTGGTGGGCAACAAGTGTGACCTCCCTTCCCGAACGGTGGATACGAAGCAGGCTCAGGATTTAGCACGCAGCTACGGCATTCCCTTTATCGAGACCTCAGCCAAAACACGGCAGGTAAGTGTCCCTCCCAGGGCTTCTGTAGGATTGACTTTGATGTAAAATTTAATAAATGATCAGAATCTTATCAGATGTCCTTTTAAAATGTTTGATAACTTTGGAGGGAAATGCGACTGTGGTGGTGTGGATCTGTGTCACTTCCTCTGTCTCTAATGGTCTTTTTGTAATAATGTTGCTGGGAAATTTACCAGTTAATGTTTCGAGCCTCATTAAATCCTTTTTGGTTAATTGAATTTTTTTTTTTTTTTTTATTTATGGGTAATAATGTGATTATTGCATGCCACTTTGTCATGGATATGCTAATTATATTGTCGTTAGGACCACCTGCAAAGGGCCCCCAGTAATAATTAATCAGCAAATCAGTTAATTTGTGTCAAGGTGTCTGCATGAAAGGACAAACTGTCAGTAATTACGTGGCGGGTTAATGATTCTGCTTACTGGTCACTGTGACTGGGTGTTGGAAGATTTGCTGTCCAGGCGGTGTGTGCTGTGAGCATGGCCTTAGGAAACTGACTGGCTGACGGAGTGATCTATAAACACATTTTTCTTGGTCTCTGATCCGACCTGAATCACGGTTCCTTCTGGTGGGGGGAAATTAATGTCGCAGTGAATAATTCCTTGCAGCTTTGGTCACCTATCTCTGCCTATATGTGTCGGTAATTTCTGTCCACATGGTGTTGTTTCTGTCTGACCAGCTACTGTCCCTTTCTCAAGGAATTTGTGAGGTTTCAGATGATGTCATTTGATTTTTCTGGATAAAATGTCATGCTTTGCACAAAAGGGAATAAGCTGCTAATGCATTCACACATTTTATGAGACTAAAAGAGATTCCAGTGCCAAACTAGGACTATTGCTACAGACGGCCCTTGATCGGTTTCGTGAAAAACTTCCAAAAAGCATTTTTCAATTCCTTAACCAGCAATTAGAACCTCTCTCCCTTTAAATGCTCCATCCTCCTCCTGCAGTCTTGGTTTCTGTAAAAGAGGGACAATATTTAAGGCATTTCTGCAGGGTCTTAAAACATCCAAAGTTTAATCACCTCAATTTTAGGCTTTATCCATTTTTGATGAGAATTTCAAATGTCATTTCATTGAGAGAAAATTATTCAAAAATGTCTTCAGGAAGAAATTTGCCAGGCATTTTTGCCTCTCTGTAAATAAGTGAAATAATTCTGCTCCTAAAGAGAATTAGTGATAGTTTAAGGTCATTAAATTCAAAATAAAAACAAGCCTTTTCATCATTATTAGATTACAAAGTTTTAGGTTGTGTAAGTAAGTTATTGGGTGACAAACATATTTATGTATTAACTTTAATAACAATCAGAAATGTTTTTAAATCATTCTGATCCTCCAAACAGATGTCTAACATCTCTAAAGCCTACTTTTGCAAATCTCAGTGTTTGATGGCTCTTTACAATGCGGCTGGAAGCCGCTCTCTAATTGTTGCGTAGTTGTTTCTTTTCCTGTGGAATTTCTCTGAAAAGCAAACGTACTGGTTTTGCACTGGAATCATTATTTCTGCTACTACAGGCTTGGAAAGTGGAAAAACTGCATAAAAATATAATGCACATTTAAGTTGTCCGGAGTAGACTGTGATCTGTAGACCACCTATCAGGACTATAAAGAAGGGATGCACTGATTGCTCAGATGAAAAGGCTAGTTTCAGCTTGACTGGTGAGTGGTAAGATGCTTTTTTTTTTTTTTCTTTAATTTTTGACTCCAGTTATGCATATATTTTTTTTGTCTATTCCTAAAATCATGGCCTTTTTTTGTTTACTTAGGTAAGCTGTAAATTAAAGTTTTTTTGTTTTTCAACTGGACTGTGAAAAAAAAACCTTCCATTTGCAACATCTTAAAAATAGATGGATGGATCACCAGGGTTGAAAAGAGGCTGAATCTGAAGGAAGGAATCTGTTCTCTGTTTAGCCCTGCTGCTCTCTTTATAAACAATTACTAGCTATGATCTAACAGAAAACTGTAAATGAATATTCAAAAGTTGAAACGGTAATCTACAATGTCTTTTATTTCTTCAAAGTGTATATTTCAGTTTAAAGTTATTTGAAATGTTTAAGTTATGTAATGTTTTTTTGCATTACATAACAACAATCAGTGAATCTCTTCTTTTAAGAAGCCAGAATCATAAAGCGGAATCAGTGTTTGTTTGAGTCTAATCAGAATAAAAATGTTTTGAATAAAAATATAATTTTGCTTGAAATAATCACTGCTGTCCGAGCCTGCAGAGAGCAAATTAATCATAATCAAAGAGTGATCGGCAAAACAAACGATTCCACACGCCCGACACGAAGCAGGCCAAAATGTTTGTTTCACTCCTTTGTGTCTGTAGTCTGTAACACGTGCATCCATACAGTATTGTTGCCCTGCCTTCCTCTGCATTGAGGAAAGTTGTGTCTTGTACTGCAGAGAGTGGAAGATGCCTTTTACACTCTGGTACGGGAGATCAGGCAGTACCGCTTCAATAAGATCAGCAAGGAAGAAAAGACTCCGAAGTGTGTCAAGCTTAAAAAGTGTGTTGTGATGTGAGAGGGGTAAGTGTACGCAGCCGCGCACGAACCAGCTTTGTCTGTGTTAGTGGGGGGACCCACGGAGGAGTCGGTGGACGGTGACGCTTCATGTGTTCTCAAAGCTTGAGCTGCTGGTTTCTGTAAGGGTTGTGGTGACGCTCTAACAGGAGGCTGAAGCGGCTGATTTCCTCTTACTTTAGTGTCTGTTTGCATTGTAGGTGATTATTATCCAAGGACATTTTCACACCGAGTTCATTTATTAAGTCTGTGCAGCTTTGAATCCACTCCAGCTGGGGTGCTTTTCAAACTAGGGACACACCAGTATGAAAATTTGGTCTGGTGTGGCCGCGATCAATGTCTCTTTCTCTCTCTGTGGAAAAAGTGTAGTTGTTTTTCCTACCCTTTCAACATCATGAAGCAATCACACAGCTGAGATTAATTCAGAGAGACGTCCTACATTCCTGCATCACCTCCACATGGCCAGCTCACGTCCCTCTTGGAACACCAATGGGTAATGTACTGGCCATAAATATTGCTGTTTAAAAGTGACAAACATCGTCCGATACCGATATCAAAGCAGATACATCATGCATCCCAAATTAAACTAGTCTACCAGTTTATTCTTGCATCTTCCCTTCCTCATGAAGCTTCACTTGTAAAATTCTGTTCCATAATCAAGTCAAATTGACGACAGTTTGTGTGAAAAAGCCTTCAGTAAATGGTCAGGGTGAACATCCAGTGTGAAAGTGTCCAAATAGGGATGAGCAAAGTGGTTTGGGCTGGTTGGTAACGACGTTATTGTCAATGTGGGTCTAAATCATGCTGAAATGCTTGATGTGACGCAATAAACTGTCAGATCTGTTATCACCAAAGAATGTGTTTCTCACAGATAAGAGCCCCCCTTTTTTATTTTAATAGGTTTGTAATTGTCCTGGTGTTTTTTTTTTTTTAAGCTCTTCACTCTTTTTGTTTTTGTTTTCTTTTGCTGGTGATGGTCACATTTAGTGCACCATCTGTTCTGTACTTGCGATACTATGGCATCAGCAGACACTAGCTGCATTAACAAAAGCCCATTTTTACCTCTATAATTGAGAAGGAAAGCTGAGAATTGAACTCCTTGGGTTAAACCTACTCGCCCCCATTAAGTTCAGACATGAGGGGCTTAAAGTTGATGAGCTGTTTCAACTGTTACCAAATTAAACACCAACTGGTCTGATGGAAGCTAGAAAGATTATTTGTAATATAGAAAGAAAAACGTCTTCCATCGAATTATTAAGCTAATCACTTGTGGCCTGACGGAGGAAAATTAGCTTGTGTGACTGCAGCTACTGTTTGTGCTGCTGACGGTGCCACCAGAGATGGTTGTATTTCAGCCCCTTTTTTTGTTGTTGCAACATTTGCATTGCCTAGCAGATGTATTCATATCCTCTTAAATCTTTTCACATGTTGGCCAGATTACAACAACAATAACAACCTCAAATGTATTTTAAGTTATTGACCAAAACAAATCCACATATTTGTTAAACCTGGTTACCCAGCCCAGCTGATGGGTCACGGAGTCCACACTTCATCCGAAGCTGAACATTCAACACGCAGTCACATGTTTTTGGGATGTTCATATTCACACACACACATACACACACACACACACAGTGCAGACCATTTGGGGGACACCCTTCAGTACACATCGCACCCCTAATCCCCACAAAATGTCAACGCTGCTGTCCGAGTTAACTTCTGCAACATACTTCTGACCAATCGCACACTTCACACAGAGCTCTGTCGAAATGGTTTGAACCAGGTTTTTGTTGAGAAGGGGAGGCGAATGACTCTCTAATAAACTTTTGTCACACGACTACGTCAATGAGAGCCAATTTTAACAGTTCTGATGAAGTATGAGAGCCCATGGTAACTCTGGAGGAGCTGCAAAGATCCTTATTTCAGGTGGGAGGATCTGCTGACATGACGACTATCGTTTGTCCACTTTACAAATCATTTAGTCACTGAACAGTGGCAAGAAGAAAGCCAAGACTTTTGTTTGCAGTTTCCCACACTCCATGTAATGGGGGTACAGGAAACCTGTGGAACAAATACTAACTTCTAATAATAACTGGAAGAAAGTCGTGGAGAAGTTAAGAGTTGGGTTACAAAGCAATATCCAAAGCTTTAAACATCTCTCAGAACAATGTTTAATCCATGAGAAAACGGAGAAGTAGTTATGAGGTCTTTTGTAACTCTGGGAGAGAATCCGTCTGCACTCTACAAACTGGACTTTATGGAAGGGTGGCAATAAGGCCAGAAGGGGCTATGATCAGATTAGACCATAAAGAAACTTTTTAGTCTGGACGCAAAAATACTGTGTGGTGGAAAACTGACACTCCAGTACATCCTGAACACATCACTTTAAAATGAAACGTGTTGGTGGCAGCATCATGCTGTGGGGTCACTCTTCTTTAGCATGAACAGGGAAGCGGATTGGAGCTAAATCTAGGAAAATGGTGAACAAAAACCTGCGAGAGGTTGCAAAGGGCAGAGGTTCACCTTCCAGCAGGATGACGCTTGAAGGATGATGTTCGACTTTAGATCATGGCATATTTTTCTGCCAGAATGGCCCAATCAAAGTCCAGCCATGAATCCAATTGAGAATCTGTGACAAGATGCTGTAGATGTTCTTGGTGTCCTCAGTCTACTTGACTGAGCTTGACCTATTTTACAAATAAGACGGGAGACTAGATAAGCAAAGCTGCTAGATAAATGATCTAAACAACCCGGAGCTTCAACAGCAGCCAAAGCTCAATCTGCAAGAAACTTTCAACAAGTTATTTGTTGAAAAAAAAATAAAATAAATGTAAACATCATTTGTCATTTACTTTCCACTCGACATATTTGTTCCGTCTTCTGGTGTTTCAATAAACCTAAGTTTGTGGTTGTTGTGCAAACATGTGAAAAAGCTTAAGGGATGTACACACATTTGCAAGGTTCAGTATCTCACTCTTCATTTTTTCTAAGTGTGATCAATTGTTTTGTTGTTTTTCCTTCCAGGGCGTCGATGATGCCTTTTACACATTAGTCCGAGAAATCCGAAAGCATAAGGAGAAGATGAGCAAGGAGGGCAAAAAGAAGAAAAAGAAGTCCAAGACAAAGTGTATACTCATGTGAATAACCACCATCCCTTTATCAAGACAGACTAATACAAAAACAAACACAAAAAAAAACAACAAAACAACAACGTTGAACAGCTCAAAGTAATAACATTTTGTACATTACACTAAATTATTAGCCTTTTTTTGTTCGAACCTTCCTTAATAAATACTAACCCCTACTCGATTCTTCCATTCGGACATCAATAAGCTTCATTTCCAGTGTAGTGCCAGATGCTGACCTGTAAGAACCAGATGAGCCAGATTTATCTTTTTTTTTTTTTTTTTTTTTAAAATATAGCATTTATGTTGGATTTTTCACATTGTTACCCAAACACGAGAAAACTGTATTACCAATTATATTTGACAAATTATCTATTATGACTCGGTTATTTTTTTTACTGAAATGCCACCACCTTTGGTTATATGGGATGCCAAAGAATGAGAATTCATCCCGTTTTGTGTAGATAAACTGGATCGGAGGAAAGACCAGTACTGAGCCCAGTAAGGTCCAAATGTCCCAGCCACTGTGGAAATTCCCCATCTCTTACCTGTTCCTACCCCTTAGTTTTGTCACTGATAAGTATGCATGCAGACTTCTAATCTGTTTTGTTTCCCTCCCCCCCAAGTGTCTAATACCCTAGTTAGCCATTAATGAATTAATTTGAAAATTGTCATTGCTTTGTATTGTGTGGGGAGTGATTTCATGCCTAAACGAGAAAATGTGGTGGTGTTTTTTTTCCCCTTGCATGCTTTGTGTCCTTAATGACACGGGGATTACAAACTGCCTCTGGTTGATGCATTGAGGAACTCAGACTCTAATTTTCAGGTTTTTAATAAAGAGCGTTCAGTAATTTCTTTTGTCAGAATATTTTTTTTAATGAAAGATTTAAAAGATGGATTTTGATTTTTACCCAATGCTGTGTTTTATGTTGCAGAGTTTAATGCCTTGTCTAATAAGATCCTTTCAGAAACAAAAAGAAAAAAAATTATTTCATTTCTACTTGTAAACCGTCTTCATGCGCCCAGCTGATGATTTTACATTTTAACTGTTTGCTCTGATGTAAAAAAGTAATTTGTTTTGTAGCAGAATAGAAACTTTTTTTTTTTTGAAAGCTGCAAGGAAAATTTGACTCTGTTCGGAGTCCCGAAGGTTGTTAACACTTTGAGGAGTAACGTGCGGAGGTGTTTGAAATTGGCCACCTCTCTATAATTGGAATGGATGTTTTTAAAATGAGGCACAAATTGCCATGAAATAGGTTTTTAGACATAAATGTCGGAGTTAATCCAAACAATTAATCCTAGTTTCTCTCAGGTCAGCCCATGTCACCGTTGTCATCGTATCTACAGACTGAGTGTTTTGATTTGCCTTTTATCATTACCTTAGGTGCTACGTTTAGACACTTATTTTGTCCTGAGTTGTACCTAAGAAATGCACAAATTAGTTTTAGGGGTGAAATGCTTATGTCACAGAAAATTGGGATTTTTGCATTTGGGATTAATGAATTTTGACCCTGCTATATATCATTACCTCCCGTTTTTTTTTCTTTTTTTTTTTTTCTTCCATGATAAATACCTGATGCAATTTTAACGAGATCCTCCTAATAATAATGATATGTTTTAAATTTAGTTTTACTGTAATGTTTAAGATGATCCTCCTTTTATTGTGTGCCAACAGCTGATTTCTGAAATGTATCATTTATATCTGGATCGTATTTTAATATCCTTTGTATAGTTGTGATACCGACAAGGTTTCATGTTTTGTAAATTGTGCTTCGTTTCGTTTGGTGTGTCTTTAATGAATGTTGCTTTAATGGAGTTGTGCTCCGCTCTGTGTTTGTGACTGGAGAGTGTGTCTGGGTCCAGGTCTGCAGAGGGGAATGAATGACCACTTTACTGTCTACCTGTTGTGGGGTGACGTAGAGTGGTGATCTGATCTCAAAAAGATCTTTTTTTTTTTTTTTGCCATGAATCTTACCACTCCTATTTAATGTGTAATAAAGAACAAAGTAAACGGAAACCAAGCTGCTTTGTCTGTTTTGTTTAAAAAAACCCCAAAAAAAACAAACAAAAAAAACAACTTTGATTTTGTTCACAGTTTCCATCAGGGGCAAAATGGCTGCCTATGAGTTCTGTCTTTTTTGTGCTTCCTTCCTTCCCTCTGTTTTTCTCTGCTCTTTTCACCATTTGCATTCTTCCATCCTCTCAATCTTTAGTTTTTCCAGACTTCATAGTTAAAGCCTGCCCACTGTAGAAACATCCATTTAGTATTTATTTTAAAATGAACATAAAAGACTCAGAACTCTGGAAAGCTGATGCTGGAATAGTTAGTTGGAATAAATGTTAGAAATCTGCTCATTCACAACATGCAATTGTCACAGATTAAAATATTTTTCCCTTTAGCAGAATGGATTTTTTTTTAAATTTAGCATTTTAAGTGAGTGTCACTGTTTTCATATCAATTTCAATTAGACATTTTTAGTACATATCTTTTGTAAAGAGTCAGAAAACGGACACCTCTCATTGGTCAAAGGTGATCACACTTGTTTGGAGGTTGTTGAATGCTTACCAGATGACATGATGCTATATATTTATATTAATATTTGCATATAATTTAAAAAAAAAATGCATTCATCCAGAACAAGCCCAGACTGTGGGGAAATTACATCCAAAGTTTACTTTAGCAGCTAAAATGGTTAAACAAGCTAACAAAAATCAACCAAAATGGACATAGATGGCCAGTGTAGAGGTCAGAGGTTTAATTGCTCATTTGTTGTTGCCTTTTCTGTCAAACACAAATGGCAAAAGATTTTTTATCAGGTTGAGGTATGCTCTTAATTTCTTCCTAGGTTTCCCAGCAGGTGGTGCTGTTTAACTATAAGTTACCATTTAGAGCTACCATTCAAAGTCAGCTAGTTTTCACTTTTTGAAGTTTACATTTTCTTCACCCCGTGCTAAATATGTTTGTTGGGTGAACTTGCCATAGCACAGGAACTATGCTAAAGATTTAGTTTTTTCCCCCCCCTCTTCCTCATTTTGTATTCTAAAGTGAAAATAGTTGCATGAAGTTCCAGGGTTAAAATCCCAGCCCTTCTGTATATATTCTCCCAATAAATGCCTTTATTTTCCTCGACACATATCCCACAGTCCAAAGCCATGTACACGTGTTTGGTTTGACCCTTCCAAACTGTCGTTGCTATCAACATGTTCATGCACGAGTGTCACACGGTAACGTGGTCTCTGATAGATTGGTGACCTGTCCGATGCCCTCGCCATTTGACCCCTGAGTTAAACCCCCAGTGCCCTGCAAGGTTTAAGCATGTATAGAATGAGTGGGTTTTGGTAGAAATAATCTTTAGAAGCTTCAAGTTGCTTAGAAGTTTCTACTGCATTTGAATGTGTTAAATTAAAAATAACAGCAAAGATAATTTTATTGAATTAGTGTTGTAAAAAAGATAAGAGTTCTTCAGTGTTAGTCCAGAGCAAGAACCTTTCAACCATTTAGACTCTCATTTCTGCTGAATAAAATGTCTACAGCAACAAAACCTAATCAACCTTAATTCTATTAGGCAACAATAGAAAATGCCTATAAGTTTGTGACAAATTTATACAGAGGGAAGGTTTTGGAAGTAGAACTTGTAAGGAAGGCTGATGAATGGATAGATGAGCAAAACGTGTGGAGAACTGGACAGAAAAAAAAATCTGAAAACACATTTTTTCACAATTTTCTTTTCCCTATATATTTCTAGATTTGTCCAAACTGCAGAGACCCTTGCTTCTTGCTTTTACAAACTAATGGTCCCCCTTGTACCATTACTTTTATCATTTTGTGAGAATTCAGTTCAGGTGTGTGTGTGTGTTTTTATATATATATATATATATATATATATATATATATATATATATATATATATATATATAGTCATAAATAATGACTTTTTTTGTCAAAGTCATTAAGAGTCATCACAGGGTGGCTGCAGAGACACAGGTTGAACTCTTTAGGGGAACACAGTGCTTCACTCTGTCTACTTTTCTAAATCCTCTTTCGATTTATAGTTTATATGGTCTCGTTGTTCCTATCTGAGTTTTCAGCAGGTTTTCCTCCCGTAATACCATGGATATTTTTACACCAGAGGTGCTGAAAATGCCAGTCTGACACGATGGCAGCATAAATTGCAGTAAATTAATTATTTTGATATTTATAAACACAGTTTGCACAGCAAGAAACAAACATCACAGACTGTCGGGTTTGGTTCTAAAGCTCTCTACCAAAGTTTTCATGTTCTTTGAAATATTTAAAACTTTGTCACATTACAAATGCCTACAGTTAATGTATTTTACTGGGATTTTGTGTGGCAGGCCAACCCAAAGTACCACGGGTATTTGTGAAGTGAAAAAGTTGGAATCCAGCGTCATGCTGTGGCAATGCTGTGTTCGTCAGAGACAGACACGCCAATCAAACTGGATGGGGAAATTGGATACAGGGAAATCCTTGAAGGAAAACCTTTCAGAGACTACAGTGACTGAGGCTAATCCACCATCAGGTCATCCATTCAGCTTCACTGAAATGCTTCTTTGTGTCAAATCCCAATAAAATACACTGAAGAGTGTGGCTGTAATGTGTCAAAATGTAAAAAACGTTCAAGGTGTATGAAAACTTTTGATATGCACTGAGACTAATTAGGCTTCCTTTCATTACATGAAACAAACTGAGTTCTCGCTCTAAACTCTGATAAGATGAAAAACATCCACACTTAGGGGGGACATGTTCGTCAAATGTTATCCCTATTAAAAGCAAAGTGTGATTTTACAATTTGCAGAAACGCTTTTTTTTTTATACGCTGATGGCCAAGAAATTATCAAAGACAGCAGATATAGTGTTTGAAGACCCCTTTAAAAAGATTGTTTCTTTGGATTTTTTTTTTTATCAGGCACATCAAAGGGCTACTCAGGGTCATCATTAAAACGTCTGATTTGGAACGACTTTAAATCAAGTATGCAAAACTTCCCAAGTTCATTTATTCATGTTTAGTTTTAAATCAATGCAATAAACAACTCTGAATATATTTAATTCAGCTGGCATGGTTAACTCATGACTCCAAAGGAGAAGCCATGAATTTTTCGTTTGCTTCCTGTTGGATCAGAATGCTAATACAAGACAGTAAACTTGAAAGAAATTCAGTTGGCTCTTAGATTAATGTGTAAATCCTCGCTTCTGCTTTTTGCATATCTGTAGGAGTTTCCCTACGGCCTGTTTGGTTCACATAGCATTTTTT